GATGTTTTGTTTAATACAGCATAGATTCCAGAACTCTTTGCCTGGAATCTGTAATACGTTCATTGTAAAATATAATTTGTTCATAATATTTTATTGTAATTGAATTGGCGTAATAGTGGGAATCCTTGAGGTATAAACAGTAAATATTGTACCTGACACCTGTGCTTCATTAGCAGAGTTTCATTGACTCACTTTGTTAGAAATGACATTATAGATCTCTTCTCATTCTACTTCCCACAGTTTGCATACACCCAGGCATTCTTTTACTTCACAGAATAACTGCATGTCAGCTGAAACTTCTTGTTGTTCTGTATACTATTTAAGTTGAGACTTTCTTTGCATGTGGATAAAAGCTTACTCTTCCAACTAAACTGATTCACAGAGATTGTCTTTTTAACATTTGAAGAAGTTAGAAGCAGGTAAATTTACAAGAAACAAGTACTTCTTTCTGAAACCATGTCATGCAAAAACATAGTACAGGTTGGCTCTCCCTGGTCCAGCACCCTCAGCACTTGAGAGGTCCCGAACAAGGGAGTTTACTGGACCAAGAGAGGTCTATGTTGCCCTCCTGGCTGTCAGCCCTGCTCCTGGGCTTCCCTCCTGGCTGTTGACTCTGCTTCTGGCCCTTGCTGGTACTCCTGGCTGCCAGCCCCACTGCCACTGGCCTGGACTGACTCTGCTCATGATCCTGGCAGACCCTCCACTCCCAGCTGCCAGGAACTCTGGTCCAGAAAGTCCCAGATTTCAGAGATTCAGCCTGTACAGCATTTTTGCTAAATTTAAGGTCCTGGTGTGTGATTTGTTAAATAGACACAACCTTGTCTTTCCACATCTCTTGGGTGAATGAGACAAAGATAGGAAAAACTTCTGACTTTGTTTCAGTGTGTCTCTTCTTGCTGAGGGCCTGATGAGCATCTCTTGCCCAGGTGATGTGCATTCTAAATGTCTGCAAGGGACCAAGAGCAATGCTAGACTAGTGCAACACAGTAGCAAGCACAAATTAGAGCAGTTTGTGATGTTCTAATTTGCAATAATTGCTAAACTGACACCTGACTGCTTGCAGAAAATGCCACGAGCTCTGTTGCACCTCAGGATCCAATCCTTAAAGTAGTGTGGCTTTCGCTTGAAACATAATTTTAAAAATAATGGGTTAGTGTAGAAGAAATGTGCAATTCTGTATCCTTTGGTAGGTGTGGAGTGCTTGTGGAATCATGAGCACTGAATGTTTTACGTATGTTGTTGCCTTTCTGATATTTAAGTATGTCTTTATACTCTTGCCCTGTCCTTCATTGTGGCTCTTCAAAACAACGCAAAAAAGACTAGCTTCCATAATTTATAGTGGTACTATTGTAGAATCTACACCCACTCAAGTACTATTTCAAGGTATTTCAATGATCACTGGTTTAAAGGATAGTGATTTTAAATGTAGCATATTTACATTACAACGTGGACTGCTTACCCTCTTCAGAAGATAAATAATTGTTTTGTTATGAGCATGGGACAGGATTGATCTATACTGTGTTGTTTCTATCTCCTCACACCTATCTTACAATAACCATATTCTGAAAGTAATATATTAAATGAGGTGGCATGGATAAAATCTTGTCCTGGGTTGCTGTTAGTCATGGGTTAACCTAGGACTGTACTCAAAACATGCTTACCATAAACTATATCCTCAGAAATCCTGACCATTTAAAGCAACAAGTGTTACTAGAATTTAAGTATTATACTGTGGTATTACAAATGAGAGCTAATTTCCCAAATTGTCTTCCTGTTTGTTTTGAACCCTATATAATAGAATACAGGCAGTCCCCGACTTCCGCGGATCTGTACTCGCGGCTGTCCCGCTGCCAGCATCCTAAGAGGCTTTGCTCCCCGTCTCCCTGGTCTGCTGGTCTCCAGCAGACCAGGGAAACGGGGAGCAAAGCCGCGGAGGACCCACGCGGCGGGACCGCGGTGCGTCTCGGTCCGCTGCCTGTGTCTTCCTGGTCTGCTGGGGTGGGGGGCGGGGGGGCAGCCAGTA